CAGCTAACCCGTCTGTGGTTCTTCTCCCCGACAGGAAGAGGTTCGTCCCCAGGACACGGTTTCAGTAATCGGAGGCGTGGCAGGAAGCAGTAAACAAGGCCGGAAAGCTGCCTGGAAGTTTGTCAAGGACAACTGGGAGGAGCTTTACAACCGCTACCAGGGCGGCTTCCTCATATCACGGCTTATCAAGGTAAAACAACACTCAGTGTAAAGCACCGGGGTCGTCGAGTAGCTGACGAGTAAAATATGAATGTACTTATACATAAAAAGATTATAAGGAAGATACTAAAATATCCTTATGCAGTTTCTGCTACAAGGTTACATCAATATTTAAAGATCAGCTCCACTCAGTAATGTGTTTTTCTTATGTTTATGTCCCTAAAATGTGAGACCTTTACTGACCTGTATCTGCAAAGTTTATCAGTAGAGAGGTGTTTTTATATTCCTCTCCTGAAGGGGGAGATCAAAGACTAAAATCCGTGATTCAAACGTACCCGGGGCAAACTACATCGGTACATAAGAAATCTCTGTACGGCGAGTGAGAGTTGGCACTAACATAGTGAAAGTTTTAACCACAAACATGTTACAGTGCGTTTCTTGGATGTAAATCAGCCCCTCATCATCCACTATTTACTACATAATAATGTGACAATGTGAACATCAGATATTACATGTTTCACTAATGTCTAACATCTTGATGCGCACTGCTGTGATCAAGGATTTATTATAACTTTTTATATGTTAAACTAAATATTAATCATAGAAGAGTATTTTTACGTACTTTAAAACATGTCTGGAACTAAAATATGTGCAGAATATATCTTGCTAGCTGCTAACTACTAATACTCATTACCCTAATCTCTGAATGTACGAACACATTTAAATGACAGAGTCTATCTATCTATCTATCTGGAACCATATTGGTTAAATTGGTTAACATCATCCAACAGGTTTCCAAAATACTACTAATATTTCAGTTACTATAAACATGATACAAACAGCAGTTGAGAGGTAGGAACAGACTATTACCTGGAATAATGTCACATGATGAAATTGGGCTGCTGGGAAAAGGAGTTGTTAAACGATAACAGGGAGTCAGATTCATTTGTTTCCCTCCACCTCCGAAGCAGATAACCACACATTTATTCTGCTTTGTGAATAAACAGGATCATGGATCATTTGTTTGTCTTTGCTTTTGTTTGCTCACAGTTGTTTCTTGTCTTTGCAGCTAACAGTTGATGGATTCGCTATTGACAAAATGGCTGCTGAAGTGAAGGTGAGAGCTTCACAGAGCCTCTCGTTTGTATTCTGCAGTTTAATAAGTTGTTTTTTTATTTTGGTTTTATTGACCAGTTTGCTAATTCACAAATATAAGTTATTCCATCTTGTTTTTCCTCGAGTGGTAACTGTAAAGTAAATCAGCTCAATCTGGTTGGGAAGAACAAGAACGGTCACAAATATTTTCACCACTAGGGGGCAGAATGACCTCAGGCCCAACCCTCAGTAATACAGTCTGTTACAGTCCTGATACACGGTGGCACATAAAGCTGTGAAGTTATTAATCCAGGACACAGACCAACAATTACACCTCCTCAGAGGCAGCTGCTGATATTCTCTACTTTTCTGCACAAGGAGTTTTCACTAATGTGGCGAGTGATCTTAAACTGGTCCGTGTGTGTGTTTGTGTCCCTGCAGAGTTTCTTTGAGAGTCACCCGGCGCCGGCTGCTGAGCGTACAGTGCAGCAGTGCTGTGAGAACATCCTCCTCAACGCCGCCTGGCTGAAGCGCGACGCAGACGACATCCACCAGTATCTACTGCAGCGCAAAGCGCCCCCCGTCTGAGCCGCCGCCGCACCTCCCTGGCCGCCCGCCTCGCAGCCCCCCTCCTCCCCCGCATCCCCTCCGAGCGCGGACCTCCCCAGCATCATAGCTGCCTGCCCCCCCCCCCCGCCCCCGATCCTCCTCAATAAAGACGCAAGAGCGTAACTTACAGCAGCCTTCATTTCTCCCTAAAAGAGACTGTAAAAACAAGAAGGCAAAGGCCAAGGAATTTAAACAAAGTGTTTGGAAACACAGAGACTCTTTCTACGTTAACAAAGCAAATCCATG